TCTTTCTGTACGAACAAGGAACTGTGGGTCAACACGCACGATTTTTAATCAACTGCCCGGAAAGACAAATTGCCTGTAGAGGAAGTCGCCTTCTTCTAAGTCTTATCTACCGCAAGGTGTTGCAGCATTCAATATTCTCAATTTCGCTAAATTTCTACTTGTTTGTCACAAAAATTGACAGAGAGATCCGAAAGAATCAATAAGACTTTTCAAATGAATGAAAAATTTCAACCAAGAAATGTGTCTAAAACAGTTTATTTCTGGTGTAAAAAATCAATCACCTTTCTATCTCATATTTTAATCATATAAATAATAACTCTACAGCTTATTATTATTTAGCTTATTATTATATTTATTATTAAACAATTAAACAGCTTATTTCTCACACAAATAAGTCTTTTATTGTTTTGACTTCAGAGGCACTGATTCCCGAGGAACGCTTTTTTGTACATTTTCAACTTTGTCGCAGCCTTTCACTGAAACGTTTTGCGTATTTTCGACTTGACTCGACTGGAGTCGACTCGACTCAATTTCACTCGACTCACTGCCTGACTTTACTTGGGAAAGTTCCGTCGCAAGGATACAATCAAGACAACCGCAATGGCTCTGACCGGAACGACCTAGGGTTCGAGTCCCAACATTGACGAATTTTCGACAGTAGCTAGATTGATCGACTTCATGTGCTGCCAGGGGGAGAGATCTAGTGGCCGGCTTGTCTGATTGGTAGTGATTTCTACGATCGTTGCCAAACGAATGCCCGAATAGTTCCTTAACGAACCGGCCTCGAATATCACGCTTCTTCGTACCCTATCCCCATCTCTCCATTTGAACACACACATACACACCAACACTTTCCCTATATTACCACATAGGCAGGAGCTTAGAGCCTGTTTGGAGCCTTCTGCAGGAAGACTCGCAAGCCAATATGTAGGCCGGATTTCGTTTCTGCATGCGAGGATCATCGCCAACAGTCGGTATATAACACATCCTACACTTAGTTTCTCTGATACACAAAATAGTGAATCAAATCGGCCCGATCCGACCGACTGTCGTGACTGCTCTCGGGGGCTCGTTTGCGTACCCGCGAAGGCGCATTGCGTGTTCTGAGCTTTTGTCGCTGCCCGACCCGACGTGGACTGATCTGCGTCCGGCTTCGATTCGTGGAATCATCATATAGTTCTACCAGTTTTCGCACAGTGATTTAAATATTAGTGCAAGTGTCTCGCAATATTTATGAAATACGGATTTTCTTGTTTCAGACTTCATATAACGTAATTTCCTTTCTTGTGATAGGGTATTTTTGAAAATTCTAAAATGACATATTTTCACCCTTTTTCTCATCTTAATGAGTACGTTATTGTAAATATCACATATAAAATTAATATTTTCACTATTTATTGTTCTCATAATATACCAGATATTACATCAATATAAACCCGTTTGTATTTATTTATTATATATCATCAATGTATGTATTGGCATTAATGAGGCTATTGTGAGGTAATGAAGAGATACTCCGATACTTTTTTTAAAAACTCACCAATTGTAACCTGCAATATACCCAACAGCTTAGCACAAATGGTATTAACTAGTTCTATTTGAGTACTTCATAAGAACAGTAGTTTTGGTCGAAAATTTTGCATTCATGTGATCCAGAATAAGTTCCTTCCAGTTGTAGAACCAATTTCTAATCGCAAAGTCACTCAGTTTGAAACTATGGACTCACATTACATTATACTATAGATCCCCTCAGTATCGACTTATGTCAAAATGCTAGAACAAACATTACGTTTATGCTGGCTAAGCAGTTAATTGTACGGTATTGTGTGGTGACCCTGCATCAAACAGATAGCTCTCTACGTTTCTATGACTGGCAAGATAGAATGCAATTGCAGGGTCGCGTGCAATGCAGAGCTGTTGTTTTTGTGTATAAATTTACCAATTTTCGTTTTTAGTTTGTATTCGACTAAAGCAGATTTGGTCTTCTGCGACACGTGCAAAGCGTTTCGATTCACTATAAGCACAACCTTATGGGCGTTAAAGAAGAAGAGAAATTGCCAAGAAACTTCTGTGCAGAATCAAAGTGTTTCTGATCAAAGTCACAAAAACATTTATTGACTAAATTGAGTACACCTTATTTTAACACCTGAAATGGCCCGCACCAACAAACCAACCCAGTTGTTCCCACCATCAAACCAACCCAGATGATTATACTTTATTCTAAACTACAGACCATTTATGTGTTATAACGAATTGTGTGTAAATAACTACACGAGCACGTACATACTCTTCTGTCCTATTCTTTCGGCATCAACATTTTTGAACTGACATCCCGACAGCAGCTGGTGGCTCTTGGGTTTCTTGCTCGCCGAGATCTATGTTTCCCTTGCACAAGCGGGAGAATGTTGAGCCGGTTTCTTAAGGCCAGGGTCGCGGGTGGTTCGCTCATATATTTGCCTTAAAACGTCCCAGAAATCTCTGGAGAGGTGCTTTAGTATGTCTTGAAAAAGTTGAAAGGTCAACTACTACGTAGTGTGAGAATCTACCCACTAAAGAAAATATTAATTTTTAAACAAATAAAAACTAGCAAATTGACAATTAAAAACTCTTCATTATATTTTGAATAAGGATTTTTCTTGGGAATTACCATTAGCTTTATCATTCACAGAGTTGTTTTTTGAAATAATAAAGCTTTTGAAATATTTTTCTATGTAATATGTGTTGTTACAATTTTCAGCCAAACGCCTTTCAATTTTTTTAACATTTACGGAAATCCATACTCACTTGATAAAGGGGATAAATGATAAATGATTGTGATTTTAGAAAAGATTTTTACAAATCTCAGTATTTTTTAAATGAAAGTCAAAAGGAAAAAAATCTAATTTTACTTTATCTCGTAATTTTCATTTCACTCTAGCAATTGTAAGTTCTCGAAGCCTATTATATATTTGGCAAAAGTATGTCACGAAAACAAATATGTTCTAGATGAAAGTAAAATGTTCATCAAAACATTCTTTATATTCGCATAAAAACCACTTGTGTGATTATACGAGTATGATAGAGGTGTACATTAGAGTTTATTATTAAGAATTTTCCAAAAATTCTTCTGTATTAATAGAGTTAATTCCTACTCAATTATCTTTAAGCCAATTATTAGGAAGTTCGGTAGATAAAAGAACGAAATAATGAAGGCTTTCTACAGCATTGGATTGATCTCTTTTGTTGTTCCTTCATCCCGTTGACCTGATTTCCCTCTCTCAATCTCACTGCGCTGTCGGTCCGCGCATAATTCGATTGTTTGCACTCTTTCACTGACAAATTTCCCCGCTTAGCAGGTGACTATGAGCCGCATTCTAAAGACCTACGCAAACCTTTCTTGACTTGACGTAGCGTGGCGATGTCCGCCTTTCTCCATTTAGGATTATATTAACCGTTCAGTGTCATTCTTGGTTGTGTCGGAAACCTGACAATCTAGACTACTTTTCTCTCTTAATTCGTTTTTTAGACATTCGTACTCAACGAAGATGCTTTTTAAAACGGTATACGATACCTGAAAACGGAGATGAGAAAAGTTACAGTTTCTTACAACTAGCTGCCTTCCACATATGTGTACAGTCTTGCCCCAAAATACAGTTCTGTTTGCACCATCTCATGATATGAAAAATTTGTTTAAAAACATTGATCTTAACGAAGAAAATAATTATTTTCCAAGACATATGTACACTTTGATAAAGTTCTAAATACATTCGATGCTATTTCTTCTTCGAATATCTTTCATCTCTTTTTCGATAATGCAAAGATTAACAAGCTAATTTACGAGTTAACCGGATTCATGCATCAGCCATAACGTTCTATATAATGGTGTAACTAATTTGAATGCCGTTGTGTTGAATCAGGTCAATTAGAACACTGCGACCCATGACAAAATATTCCTAAATTTCGTTAAATGTTAATTGATTTTATAAAAATGGTTCTCACAAAATTGGCGTACTTGGTGTGGTTTTTCCTTGATTGCATGACCGCGCTGTTTCTCACAGTACTTCTCCGGCATTCGCCTGATGTTGATCGGAGAAACCACGGACAATTATCGATCAGACCTGCAACCACCTAGAATTCTCCTCCAGACAGCAGCTGAATTTCACTTAGCTATACAGCTAGTGTCGTAAGTCCATCCACCGTCCGGGCTCCTACCCTAGGATCTACCGGTCAGATGCCCTGCAGTGACATTGATGCCCTGAGCTACCGTGATGTTCAGCGACCAGAAATGGTCATGTCAGACGGGTTTGCGTTTCGCGACCTTACAAAAAGCAGACACGTATCCTTAGAACAACCATGGACAAGGCCGCTACAGGTGGTAAAGACAGTAAAAAAAGATAAGACGAAAGTTTTTAACAAATATGCTTACAAAAATTAGCATAAATGAACTCATCTAGTGTTTTGAATCTTAAAATATTTGGTAATGACCTTGTTTGAGGGCATCAGAACTCGCGGTTTCAACTTCGTGCAGAAAGTCTGGACCCTTTGGACTATGCTAATACTTATATTTGAGATTGCAACGGATAAAAGTCATATGTGTAGTGTAACTTGTACCTTATTTAGTAATAACTTAGTAATACTTTTAGTATGTACCTTATTTGGCCATTGAGGAACCTGCGTCACTTCGTCCATTCCTCATTCAGGATAGGACCCCTTCCGATCCACTCATCTAAACAAATGAGTTGTCATTTGTCGCCCCTCCAATCTACTGGTTGGAATGTGAAATATGTTACGTAGATTAGTTCTAAATATTCTAATTGATTTATCTATAAAATGTGTTTTATTTTTATGCAATTAAAACGTATTTTAAGAAACGGCACTTACAGAGGTGGTCAACAGCTTATTCGGTTTTTCTCCACAAGACAAATCGTTCTGCACAATTCATAGCAGGATAGGTAGCCTCTTGTATATTCTAGAAGAATTCTAGAAAAACACGAGTTTTTAATGGTTATTTTGTGAGCCGCATGTTCTCGTTGATTGATATTAAATATATCTTCAGAAGAGAGAATTAAAAGATTTTTTGTTGTATGAAAAAAATTACATATGCCAAAATGACGAAAATGAGTAAAATTATATGATTTCACTAAATGTAATAATTAAGATATTATAATCATAATTAAGGATTAATTTGTTGGTATCGAAAGTAGCGAGCACCATCGTCAACAAGAAACAAAAACACAGAAGAGATGCAATTTGAGGTCAGGGGAAAAGCGAGGGAAATTTTGAACAACTGTAACAATACGACTATTACACTCGATATATTGAATCAAATAATTTTATGATTGAGACGGAGTGGATTGTCATTCGGGTATCTTCATTTTTTATTTTTGGGAATACGAGTTATTTAACATATTTTAAAACATTGTATGATGTTATGATTGTATGATTTATGATTGTGCGGTTTGTGGGAGAATGTGTTGCCTAAAGTCATTTGAACACCCAATTCAGTTTTCTTTATTATTATCGTGCATCGAGGGCAATCATTCAACGAGAATTCTGCATAATGTGCTTGTCTACCGCATTCCAGAGATTAATGAATGATAATATGGCTATTATCAACGGATGTGGACACGTACGTAATCTGATTATTAGAGATAAAATACTAGGTTTCTGTGAAAGGTTCTGGTTGCGATTTCTTCTGGATATCGAGTAACGAAATGTGATGTATAGCTGCTCTCTTTTATATTATATTTTTAACAGATTGTTTAAATATTACATAAAGTGAAAGACTGTGCACAATTAAAATATTTTTCAAAATGTAGCTGTCAGAAGATTGACAATGGACGTTTATGGTTTTAATGTCTATTACAGTTGATTATTAGCATTTTATCGTCAGTAGTGTCATTTAAGAAATCAGTTTTTGTTGACCTACTGAAGCAGTGGATAAAAAACCTTGGATTATATCTTGCTAAAAATAATAATAAAATTAAAAAAGACAAGCAAGTCAATGCAACGACTGGATATTTTATTTAAAAAAGTAAATTGTATACAATAAATTAAAAACTTTTTTTTTCAAAATCCAAACTTGTGAAATTATCAAAAAAATTGGAATTTGCAGCCTTTTGAGACCATCACAAAAGGTGAATAGAAACACAATAGGTGGAAACGAGACATTTGGTAACGAATGAAGTTTGTGGAAAGGAACAAAAGAAATCCGCGACCAACAAGACAAGAGTGAGAGGTAGTGATTGGCTTCATTAAGTTTTTGAAGATACACGTGAGTAATTTCCGTACTTGGGTATATTCAATAATAGAAAAAAATGGCAGATTATTAAAGAAAAATAATGAGTGTAGTGAGTGATAGCTAATAGGAATGACCAGTGTGCCCGACAAATGAACATATTGACCAAAAGGTAGCACAGAGAGACGAATTTGACGAACTTCCGGTCAGGAAGCGGCAGGAGTGAGTCAAACGTGAGACAGTGGAGCAGTCTGTCATGAGAATAATTTAATTGTTGAATTGCGTGATGAGTGATAAAGAGAAAATGGGTGTGGATAGAAGCACGCGAACAATGAATTAATATAGTGGATGAATTCTTAAAGAAGGAAATAGTGATTCGTCGGACTTAAATTATAACATGAACTTTTTGTTCAAGTAATTAAAAATAGATCAGAATATCCTACGTAAATTACACAACTTGAAATTCCTTATGGGCAAGTCTCTCGACATACGTATTATTTATTTTCTTATGCCAATGAACGATTTCCGTTCCAAAATTTAATGGGAGCATTGATAAATTATTAAATAGTTACAAACAACTGAGTTAAGCTGAGGTCGGTGAAAAAGGAGCTTTACTATTAAATAAAGAAAACAAAATTAGGAGTAAGAAAGAAAGCGAGTCTCAATCAAATGGTGCGAAGTGACAATGATATCCAACAGAAGCTCTCGTTTAATATGTACAACCGGTAATCTGAAATATCAATTTGTACTGATGACAGAAACTTATGAGGAATAAAGATAGGAGTAAATAGTTCTTCACGATTTCCCTAATTTATATAAATATAATGTAAAATACAAATAATATACCCCAAATATTATAACTAAAAAGGAATAAAGCATTTTAAACTTGTAAAAAGTCATTGTTAATAAGTACCCTACTTTAACTTAAAAAGAACATAAAATAAACAGTAATGTATTTATATATATATATATATATATATATATAT